TGTTCTGCTCCTCTGGCGGCGGGAGGAAGCGAATCGGGTTTCCGTTACGGTGGGTTTCACCCAGGTCGGCGAGTCGCAGTTCGAGCGCTTCCAGCAGAACGAACCACGCCCTATCCATGGAACCATCCACCATCGCCAGATGCCGCTCGTCGTCTCGGGCCTCCGGGAACCTGAAGAGGAAGCAAGCGTCAGGATAGCCAGCGAGCTGCACCTCGCTCTTCGCCTTGATGTGGCGGCCATCCAGTTCCGTCCAAGCTGCGCGCCGTGAGACGGGGTTGTACTTCTCCTGCCAATTGCGCAGCTTCTCTAGCCAGTAAAAGACGTCCTGATGTACCGGTCCACCTAAGGACCAGGGCAACACGTAGCCTTTCTCTGTACCGGATTTGGCGATGTCCGCAGTCTTGTTGGTGTTGATGTGAAGCACGGTTGATGCATCTTTACCATCGGAGAGCGGGTTGCTGCGGCGAAACACCCCTTGCTGGAGGGGCGTCGTTCGCTGCCCCGTGCAAGTCGGTTCGTATTCAAAGTCCACTCACCCGCTGAATAGCGCCAGGTATCCGCTTCGCCCGAGTCGAGCATGCGCACCTGGAAGGTTCGCAGCGGCAGGATGAGCTTCACGAGCAGGGCAACCCAACGCACCGGGCTCCACATCTCCAGCACCTGGCCACCGCGATATTTCGGACTCACCTTGCGGACTCGCCACACGCAGTCGGGGTCGTTCCGGTCAATCTGGCCCTCGGTCACTTCAAACCAATCAGGTGCACCTTGCCCGCGCTGGCCAATTTCCACACCCAGAGCGCTCTGCGCCCACGGCCAGTCGCAGAAGTTTGGGCCTGCTGCCAGCATTTGCCGCAACTCGTCAATGTACCCATAGGGCAGTGGCGAGTGGACGCTCTCATCCCGCCTGGGCAGGCCACTCTTGGACATCCGGAGCACAGGGTTGCGGAAGGCTGGTGAGACCACCGGTTGGCCATTGTCGTCGGCTTCGCTGAACTCCCGCAGCAGCACGAAGTGCAGGAAGGCGTGGATGTTATTGTTGTACTGGATGCCATTCGCTGAATCCGGGCAGGTCGTGCGGTAGAAGTCCGGCAGGACCGTGCTGCGGGCCAGGAACACCGAGGGGTCAAGCGGCAGCCCCTGCTGGACGAGGTAGCGTTCGAAGAAGGCCGCCAAGGCATTAAGCCTCCACCCAACCCGCTCGTTTCCCCTTGGAGCCACTCCACTGCCAATACGCGCCAGGCCTCGAGTTGTGGATGCTCCAGTTCGACCCAGCGCAGGGTGATGTCGCTTTTACGCGAGACCCTTTTGACCTTGGGAGCCGGGGCGGTAGATGACTTGGCCGTAGTCGTTGTTTTCTTTTCGGTCATACGGATTACCTATTCATCTAGCTCGATACCCGGCTGTGGCCGGCCCAGCACAGTCGGAGGGCCGGCGTGCTGAGCCCGCAGTCGCTGCGCGGCGGTTTCAAGTGCTGCGATGGCCTCGTGGGTGGTCGCTTGCGTGTAGACCTGCTGGCTCTCCTCGGATGCGTGATGCATAAAGCGACGGATGAGCGACTTATCGACATCGGCGTTGCGCAGCCGCCGACCATAGGCGTGACGGTGGCCATGGGGTGTCGTGCCCAGTGCCTTGCCGACCGTAAGACCGATACGTTCACAGGCGGCGGCATGCGCCTTGTTGTACTGGTTGAGCGTGTACACCCCGCCCACTGGCTCTCGACTGAGGTTGATAAAGGCAAACGGGTGGCCACGGTCGATACGCGCGACCTGCTCCAGGTAACGGTGCCAGAGTTGCAGGAACCACTTGCCATATTCTGGCAAGAACCAGTACGCCTGCTTGTAGTAGGCCGCGTCATGCGTACCGCCTTTCCAGCCGGCATGGCGCCTGTCCATCAACTCATTGCGAGGCACAAGGCCGAATTGCTGGGCAAGGTATTCCGCCCGGTTGCCCTTGCGTGACTTGCCTCTTTCATCGCGCCAATCGGCGGGTGCTCCGCCATGGCTCGGGTGATGGATGAGCACCCTGGCCTGACTCGGGTTGGCTGGGTCCGGGAATACATCGGAGATGTAGAGGTGGAAAGGCTCCGACTCTCGGAAACCGGCCCCGTGCAGCAGCAACGTGATGAGCATGCCACGGTAGTCCTGGCGTCCAGCGCATGGAATCCCTTGGCAAGCAGTTCCTCGAAACGCTCTTCCGGGAAGGCTGGCGGTTCACCCTTCTCAACTCTCGGCAGGCGTTGGCCCCGGACACGGTGCCCGGTCTCGGCGGGGGAAGCGTTAGCCGCCCAGGCGTGCCCGAGGAAGGCCTTGCTGCGCCGGTACTGGTAGGCGGCTTCATCGGTCTGGCGGTCGAAGGCGCCGCCCGCGTAGCGCGGGTTCACCTGGGCCGCCTCGGGACGCATCTCGCCGAGCCAGTCAAAGAAGTCGGTCAGGTGGGTGACGATGTGCGAAGCATCCTGCGGCGAGCGCGGCGCCCAGCAAAGGCCACTGGGGTCCAGACCGGTCGCACGGTCGAAGGTGCCGGTGTACAGCCGCTGGGCGAAGTTCTGGAACAGACGGTAGGTGTCGCGCTCGCCAGGGTTGGATTGCAGGTATTCGAGGAACATCCGCACCGAGCGGGTCACTTTCGACATCCAGGCCAAGCTGCGGTCGTGGCTGCGGTACAGGCAATAGTCCAGCAAGGGCTCCAGCACCCCCGCCGGGTCAGTAACGCAGGCAACTCGGCGTAGGCCCCGGTGGCATCAGTATGGACACGGGCTTTGACGGTCACGAACATGGTCGACCTAGACAGCCAAGGTGCGCAACAGGTCAGTTGCGCCTTTGAAATCGATGTGGCGCGCATGCATGACCATATCCATGGCGCCCCCACCGCAGCGCTGGAGCCGGGTATCGAAGAACTTGGGGCCGCGCAGCAGCAATTCGAAATCCCGCCCTTCAACATTGATGTGATAGCGCTGGGTG